ATTATTTGAGTTCCAAGTTGGGTAGGAGGGGGTAAAACAACAAAATAATAAGAATATTTTCAATTCATATCATTCTAGAAAAAGAGGTGAATCTCTCCAAGATGGGAATACTCAGAGCTGCCCACTTTCCCTTTTTGATTTTTATTTATAGAAGTAAAAAAATGTTCCGGAATGATTTGGACACGCATTTTAGTCCTGCCGTATGTTTAAAATGAAAGCACATAACCCATTCCATCTCTGTCCTGAAATGCCAGCCGAGCCTCTTAAATCTTTAACTGGGGCTTTTGAAGCAAGATAAGGTGAGGTGGAGGAAGAGGGGGGCTGCCGTGGAGCGGAGGAGTGGGCGCTGCCGTACATCCGAATTGGAAGGGTTAAGTTGCCAGCGAAACCCAAGAGGAATGCTAACGGATCAAGAAATGACATGCTGCCTATTGTTTGTTGCTATAGGATCAAAATAACAATTATACATGCCAAATAAATTCTAAACCTGTAAGGTTGGAAAAGAAGGGATGGCGGTAAGTACAGGTGCCAGAAGCATTAAATAACCCTCTCAAACAAGGTGCACTACTGTTGTCTTGAATTCGGCGAGGTCCCCCCAGTCTGGCATTTCCCCCCCTCCGCAAGACAATGTGCATTCACTGCAGGAGACGAGGTTAAGCCTGCGTCTCCCAGACCTTCTGGCTCCTTGTGCCCAACCCTGACACAGAGGTGCCTTTGTGAGTATAATTACCCTCCCCTTGTAGTAGAAATAGTTTATTTAGATCCTTATTTTTTTTCCTCCTCCTGCAGGTAAGGCTGGAATAAGTGGGAATTAGCATGCTAAAGAACCTGCCCTAGCTCTGACTTCTGGGTTGATTATCCACAACTTCTGACAATCCTTTTCTTTTCCTCTGTTGGTTTTTACTCCATGATGCAATGCCAGATTAAAGGCTTGAGGGGTTATTAGAAACAAGTAAAGGAAGGCCAGGAGCCAGTTCGCAGGTTAGAAGGAGGCACATGTCATCATGCAAAGGATTTTCCTGAAACTGCATTTCAGCAGCCGCCAAAATAAACTCAGGTAGACACAGAGCTTGCAAGGTCTTAAAAAAAAAAAAGAATAAGTAATCATTATCATTCAAAGTCCTCCTCTAGTAGTTATAAATGCAGTTTTTTTAAAAGTAATGCTTCACTGTTCGTTTCCTCAGAAGTAATAATCTATGGTGAGTTTCCAGGGAAAAAACCACTTGTGACACAAATACATTGTGAACCCTTGGCACCCTGGGAAAAATCCCCAGAGCAGATAAGCAATGAAATAAGACAACAATGTGTTCTGTACCACAGACCAATATCTTATAGTATTTGATGTACTTTTAAGGAACTATAAAGGAGCCCCTGGTGGCGCAGTGGGTTGAACCCCTGACTTGCTGAACTTGCTGACCGAAAGGTTGATAGTTCGAATCTGAGGAGCAGGGTGAGTTCCTGCTGTTAGCTCCAGCTTCTGCCAACCTAGCAATTTGAAAACATGCAAATGTGAGTAGATCAATAGGTACCACTCTGGTGGGAAGGTAACGGTCTTTCATGCAGTCATGCCAGCCACATGACCTTGGATGTGTCTACGGACAACACCAGCTCTTCGGCTTAGAAACCAACCCCCAGTCAGACACAACTGGACTCAGTGTCAAGGGAAAGCCTTTACCTTTACTAACTAAATAGTTACTTTATAGTTAAGGAAAAGGTTTCCCCTTGACATTAAGTCTAGTCATGTCTGACTCTGGGGGTGGGGGGGGGGGTGCTCATCTCCGTTTCTAACCTGAAGAGCCAGCGTTGTCTGTAGATGCCTCCTAGGTTATGTGGCTGGCATGACTGCATGAAGCGCTGTTACTTTCCCGCTGGAACAGTACTTATTGATCTACTCACATTTGTATGTTTTCAAACTGCTAGGTTGGCAGAAGCTGGGACTAACAACAGGAGCTCACCCCTCTCCCCGGATTCGAACCGCCTACCTTTCAGTCAGCAAGTTCAGCAGCTCAGCGGTTCAACCCGCTGCACCACCGGGGGCTTCTTTATAGTTCCTTAAAAGTAAATCAAATACTATAAGATACTGGCCTGTGGTACAGAACACATTGTTGTTTTATTGTAAACTTTTGGTGAAAAAGCAATAAATTTTTTTCTAAAAAAATAATAAAAAAATACTATAAGCTAGTGGCCTGTGATACAGAACACACTGTTGTCTTATTTCATGGCTTATCTGCTATGGGGATTTTCCTCAGTGTGCCAAGGGCTGACAATGTATTTGTGTCGCAAGTGGGGTTTTTCCTGGAAACTCCCCATGGATTGACAGCCAATAGCTTGCACACTATCTATGGACCCCTAGTTTGAGTAACTACTGCAGTCTACATTGTCATCACATCACCACAACAAAGCACCAAGTGGTGGCTCTAGATGCATCATGAGCCAGCACCAGAACCATGTCATATTCCTCCTGTATCATTTAGCCACGTTTCCCATAAGTACAAAAGTCATAAATGGTTTTAATTACATTGCAAAAAAATGAGGTTATTCTTAGTTAAGTTATCATCCTACTTTGATATAAGAACTTCGTTATTTGGAAAGTAATTACATACAACTAGTTCTCAGTTCTGGTTCAATGATCCTAATATCTTATGAGGAACTCATATTGAAGGTGCCTTTAGGGTTTTTACTCAGCGTGAGTATCAAAAAAGTGTGAAGACTAAAGTAAAGGTAGAATTAGGGACATACTTTATTTAGAAACAAATTTGATTGAGAATTGGCTTCCCATTAAACTCTTCTGAGCATTGCAGAAGGAACGTTTCCTTGGCCTTGCGAGATGCTATGGCCATTCTCCCTTAAGCCTTCCTAATTGGCATTAGCTGGTTGCAGGTGATTAACTTGGAGTTAAATGAGGTCTGCTGTTAAACATGCTTTCCCAGACTTTCAAGCAGAGGGGTAAGAGGAAACTTTAGACTGTTGAGATATTGGAACACAGCCAAAGTTGGTGGTTAATAAAGTAGATCTAAAGTTTTGATCCAGCTTTGTTTACATTATAAGCCGACGAAAGTTGGCAGATTATTTTCTTTCTTAAATCTGAAAGCATGTTACCTGAGGGTTTCTTAAAAGGCATGCTGTTTCCATCTTTGCAGAGAGATTACTATAAAAATGAGACATAGAGGAGCTAAAGAGTTTGCGAGTCCGTCCCACTTATTATTTTAAAGACACTGCGGTGTCGATGTCATCATTCCTTCATTAGAATTTGGGTCCTGGAAAAATGTCATGTGGTGGGCTTGGAAAGAACTATGTATATACTGAGCCCACTTTTGCTTTATTATTCTTAGCAAAATTCTTACCCAAGCATAAAACGAGAGAGAAGGAGCGATGCTGGATTTTTTATCTACGTAACGTAGAGTTTTGATAAATTGCATGAGCAGCCTGTACCATAAACATAAAAGAATAGTTACTCTGTGCTTCATGGTTTTTAAAACTGGATAAAGCTAAAATTTCCTGACAACCATCAAATCAGGGTGGAGTTGTTATGGGATGTTCATACCCTTCAGAGTTGAGCATCTTGAACTGTAATAGGAACAAAAAGGTGTCTAATTTTAATAACGACAGCAAAAAATAAAATAAACTAATCAGCTGTGCTGTGCAGCAAAAACAATAACATGGAGATTCATCAGCCTTTGGAACAAATTGTATTTGAGAAGGATGTGCATTTGTTCATCTCCAGCTTTACCTGCCACAGAGTGAAACAACACTTGTCAGGCAAATATATCCCATAAGGGAATCTGTCTCTGTGGAATGTACCTGCCTTGTAGAGGCTGCTCTTCTGCATCCTGTCAGGCATGCAAACATATATCTTTGTAAGATATGGGAGGGTGACAGTTGTAGATGTTTTTTTAAAACCAGTGGCTCTCAGCCTTCCTAATGCCGGGACCCCTTAAGACAGTCCCTCATGTTGTGGTCACCTCCAACCATAAAATTATTTTTGTTGCTTCTGTTATTAATTGTAATGTAAATATCTGGTGTGCAGGATATATTTTCATTCACTGGACCAGATTTGGCACAAATACCTGATATGCCCAAATTTGAATACTGGCGGTGTTGGGGGGGTTTGATTTTGTCATTTGAGAGTTGTAGTTGTTGGGATTTTTAGTTAACTTACTATCAAAAAGCATTCTGAACTCGACCAATGATTGAATTGAACCATACTTGGCACACACAACTCCCATGACCAACAGAAAATACTGGAAGGGTTTAGTGGGCATTGACCTTGAGTTTTGGAGTTGTAGTTCACCTTCATCTAGAGAGCACTATGGACTCAAACAATGATGTATCTGGACCAAACTTGGCACGAATACTCAATATGCCCACATGTGAACAATGGTGGAATTTGGGGAAAATAGATTTGACATTTGGAAATTGTAGTTGCTGGGATTTATAGTTCACCTACAATCAAAGAGCATTCTGAACCCCACCAATGATAGAATTGGGCCAGACTTCCAACACAAAACCCCCATGACCAACAGAAAATACTGCAGTGGGTTAAACCGCTGAGCTGAACTTGCTGAACAAAAGGTCGGCGATTTGAATCCGGGGAGCACGGTGAGCTCCCACTGTTAGCCCCAGCTTCTGCCAATGTAGCAGTTCAAAAATATGCAAATGTGAGTAGATCAATAGGTACTGCTTCTACGGGAAGGTAACGGCACTCCATGCAGTCATGCTGGCCACATGACCTTGGAGGCATCTATGGACAGTGCCAGCTCTTCAGCTTAGAAATGGAGATGAGTACCCCCCACAGTTGGACACGACTAGACTTAATGTCAAAGGGAAACCTTTACCTTTTAAGTTTGCATAAATTGGTAGGTTTATGCCTGCTTAAATCTTTGTTAGATTGTGGAGACCATTTTACAAAGGAAGGTAAAAGCACAGAAGTTATTAACTATCTCAGTATTCAGTATCTTTTTATAGTCTTATCTACAGTCTTTTGTCTTTTCTTCTCCTAGGGAGCCAAGGCCTGTTTTCTTCGTGACATTCCCTTCTCTGCCATTTACTTTCCCTGCTATGCTCACATGAAATCTGCTTTTGCAAGTGAAGATGGACGAGTGAGTCCTGGATATTTGCTTTTAGCTGGAGCAATAGCTGGTAAGTAGCTGCTTTTGTTTTGACACTATCGACCTCTTGTTCTTTGGAGACCTCAAATGAATTGGACACTGGAACTGGTTAAGCAGGATCAAACTGCATAACAAAGTGCAACACAGATTTTATTTACCGACAGGATTTATTCCAAAGAGATTGAGGTGATACACATGATCTCCTCATTTTTCTCCTCATAGTAACGCTTTCTAGTAAAGCTAGGCTGAGAGATAATTACTGATTTATGGTCATTCAATCAAGTGAAGCCAGACTAGTTTCATGGTTTGAACATTGGACCGTGACTGGAGACCAGGGTTGAATCCCCACTTGGCCATGGAAACTTACTGGTTTACCTTGGGCATGCCACACTCCCAGCTTCAGAGGAAGGCACTGGCAAATGTGCTCTGAACACATCTTGCCAAGGAACCCCTGAGGTTCCCCTTAGGGTCACCGTACATTAAAGTGACTTGAAGGCACTCAACAATAAATATCCAATCCCAATCCAGTCATTTTTGTAGGATTGCCATATTTGAGAAATTGCCCTATAACATAGTATTGAGAAATCAATCTGACCAAGGATACAAATATTTAGGCACTAGTATAACTAGAAAAGTATATTGACATGCATGTACTTAGACCTTAAATGCCTTTCTAGCATTGAGTAGTCCTTGTGTACCTATGTACTGAGGTCCATATCCTCCTTTATGTGTCATATTTGAACCAGGGAACATGGACATAGTATAGACTTCTGGGAAATGTCATTGAACTTACTGCTTTTTCATTTATTTAAAAAGCTGGAGAGGTAAAATGGAAAGGCAACCAGTGCTGGCAAAATAAAAGGAGATACCTATTTTGTTCTGATATCAAGTATGGATTGTTTGGCTTGTGGCAATACAAGCAGCACACAAATATGAAAAGCTTGAGATAGATAGATAGATAGATAGATAGATAGATAGATAGATAGATAGATAGATGTGTGCGTGTGTGTGAGATAGGTTTATCAAATGGCTTCATTTTCCATATATGATATAAATCAGTGGTTCTCAACCTTCCTAATGCCAAGACGCCTTGATATAGTTCCTCATGTTGTGGTGACCTCCAACCATAAAATTATTTTCATTTCTACTTCATAACTAATTTTGCTACTGTTATGAATCGTAATGTAAATATCTGATATGCAGGATATATTTTCATTCACTGGACCCAATTTGGCACAAATACCCGATACATATAATTTGAATACAAATTTGGGGTTAGGGAGGGGGTGATTGATTTTGTCATTTGTGAGTTGTAGTTGTTGGGATTTATAGTTCACTTACCATTAAAGAGCATTCTGAAGTCCACCAATGATGGAATTGAACCAAACTTGCCACACAGAACTCCCATGACAACAGAAGATACTGGAGGAGTTTGGTAGGCATTGATCTTGAGCTTTGGAGTTGTGGTTCACCTACATCCAGAGAGCACTGTGGACTCAAACAATGATGGATCTGGACCAAACTTTACACGAATACACAATATGTCCAAATGTGAACACTGGTGGAGTTGAAGGAAAATAAACCTTGACATTTGGGAGTTGTCATTACTGGGATTTATATTTCTCCTACCATCAAAGAGCATTCTGAACCCCACTGATGATAGAATTGGGCCAAACTTCCCACACAGAACTTTCATGACTGACGGAAAATACTGTGTTTTCTGATGGTCTTTGGTGACCCCCCTGACACCCCCTCACAACTCCCCAGGGGTCCCGACCCCCAGGTTGAGAAATGCTGGCCTAGAGCATATACACGGCCAGTGCAAATGTTGTGCCAGTCTCTGTTTGTGGCTATTTTGATTTATAATTTTTAGACTTCTTATCACATGTATGAGATTATAGGCTCAAATGTGGTAATGACAATGGCAAGAAATCTGTTGCCCAGGTGATTATGGTGGTATTGGAGAGAAATGGCTGGAAAGGTAGAAATGCTTATAAAATAGTCTTTGTTTCAATGTCTTTGTGACTGGTAGAAATTGGGATGTCATTTCAAAACAGGATCCAAGTAAATCCCACCTGGAGGAGGAAAGCCATTGATCCCAATAGCCGGTGTTGTAAACATATTTGACTATGGCTGGGGGAGAGAAATATCTCTTTTTAAAGCATTATGTACAAAATAAATAAAAAAACCAATTACATCCTTGTTATACAGAGTATCAGCAAGTGAGCATAGGTTTGAAGCCGTATATTTGAAAAGCTGCATAGGAGTCTATCTAAATGTGAACCCTCTGTTATTATGACAGATAACAGAAATGTAATGACTCTGGGGAGAAGAAATGTTGCCTCTTTTGCATGGAGTGAAAAGGAAGGCAGAAAATGGTTCTTTTCTCTCCTGCTGGGAAGCAGCTAAAGGTCTCCATATACAGTTCAGCATTTGTTTGTTTTCCCCCCTCACTTCCCTTTTTTATATGTTCTCACCCACTACCTTAGAAGGGTTGGCATTGAGCTTTTTACTCTTTGTAATCCAAAGAAAGTTTCTCGGCTAATTGCTCCTGTGTCTGAAATGGAATTGACCACTCCCCGCATTTGGTGGTTTCGCCTTTGTGCTTTGCTAAAAGAATGCCCTGGAAAGAGTCCTAGATAATGTCTTTCACACAATTTTTTTAACTTGGAATGTTTTTATATTCAACCTATGTGCTCTAAAGAAGCAGAGAAAGAACAGGTATAATATCCGGATGTAATATCCAATGTCCTATGCAGCCGATAGTCTTTACAACCAGAAAATCAATTTCTGCTTCTGATAGCAAAAGCGATCCGAGATATAAGTGGACTTGCTTGTTCCATTTGCTCAAGAGGGGGAATCGTGAGGCTTACTTTTCCCCGAGACTCAAAAGGGAATATTTTTCCTTCATGTGTAGTAGATAGTTAACTCTCTCCTGTCTTTAAGGGAAATGCTCCCTGTGCATAATTTTTCCATTAACCCATTAAATACTTTCCTTAAGACTGGTGTGCAAGACTTTTCTCCCTGGACCTGAGAAGGCATTCTGATAGCTTTGGGTACATTTCTTCCCCTAGTATTAAGGGTAACATCCATGAAGATTCTTGCTCTTGGAAGGGGAGCACAATGTGGACATGATGAATCACAAATACTGGTAAACTGAGTCTCATTTCCTATTTTTGAAACGCCTCTGAATTCCCTAATGATTGTAAAAATGTTTTGATCATCCCAGAAGCAACTTGAGAAACTGCAAGTCACTTCTGTTGTTGAGAGAATTGGCCGTCTGCAGAGACGTTGCCCTGGGCAACGTCTCTGTGGGAGGCTTTTCTCATGTCCCTGTATGGGAAGCTGGAGCTGTATGGGAAGCTGGAGCTGACAGATGAGAGCATACTCCATCTCAAGGATTCAAACTGCCAACCTTCAGGTCAGCAGTTCAGATGGCACAAGGGTTTAACTCATTGCGTCACTGTAGCTCCTGACTGTAAAATAATGACAGGCAACCTTATCCTGTTATATTGCCACTGCCTTTACAGATTGAGCATCCCTTATCCTGAAATGCTCCAGAATCCAAATTGCAAAGACTCATATTACTAACATTTGCAGTACAGTTTTATTCTACTTTCTCAGTGCTGTGGTCTTTTTTTAATGAGAAGAGAGTGTGTTTCTAGGATGGAAGCTTGGAATCAGTAAGACACAAATATCTAAGAAACTAGAACTGATGCAATCTATCAAATGCAGTTTTCTGAATCAGCACCACAAATAACCCCAGGAACAGTCCTAAAAACCAATCCACCAAGAAATGTGTTTGTTGTTATTGGGCTCTGTTGTTGTTGTTGTTATCTGCCTCTTCTCGCAGCTTGAGGTGAAGTCCAACATGTTCAAAACAGACAATACTACTAAAATATTATTGTGCCTTTTGTGTTTTAGTGTTGATATGGTCAGAGGACTAATCAATAAACAAATCTATTAAAATGTATACAATAAAAATACATATAATAAAGACTGAGACTAATACTAACTAAATATTTCTTGAAATATCTAAAATTGACTGGTAGTCATGCCAGAAGGAATGGGTCTTTAATTGCATCTTATCATGCAGTATATAATTTATTGGTGGGGTAAAGTACCATATCCTTGGAAGAGTAAGGATGTGATATAGCAAGGAATGAACTTAATTTTATGATGGGTCTATAGAGGCATACTCATTTGTGCATATCCTTTGTACTCATCTCAGGTTTGATTGTTACCTTTTCTCTGGAGTTAGTTTTTAGTAAGAAGCCTGCTTCGCAAACCTACTCAATTGTGCCATTTAAACTTAACTGAGGGCATCTGGACCATTTCAGCAAAATATGTTCCAAAGAGTGTTGGGTTGTAATTTTGGAATCCCTGCAGATAGGAGCTCTTGGAAAAATGCATATAATGTGGAAACTATTTGGGAATTGCACCACAAGGCTCAGGGCTAGTTCACACTTGCTGATGCCCCCAAAGGGAATGTCTACGAAACGGTCAAAGACCATTGGTTAGTTTGTATCCAGATTGTACTCAGCTGAGACACTATTTCGACACAGAAGGTTGTATACATGGACTGCTGTGTTTTTCTGGTTTTAGCTTATCTTGAAAGTATAGGAGTCCAGCATCTCTGAATAGTATCCTGAGGTGAAATGTATCCTTTGCAACACATTTCAAGTGTAGATGTGATTTATCGGCCAGACTTTCATATGTGAAAGTTTGTGCCATGTTTTTGGTCCTGTTCCCCCTTTATGGGTTTTTGGGAAGAGGTGGAGCAGTTCCTATTTTAGTGATAAACACACACTTTTTACATCTCTTCCAAAGCCGTCTGCTAAAAAAGTGAGGTGGCGTTTTGGAGCCAGACCACATTGGTTTGGACAAAAACTGTTACAGAATTATTAAGCTTTAGAGGCAGGAAGGAGGAGGAGGGAGAGAGAAAAAGGACGTTTATGCATCTCTGTCTGCCCAAGCTGGTTTGGAATTCATGCAGAATGGAAAAGTAATAAAATAAGAAGAGACACTGTTTTCTGAAATAAAAATCTCGCTTTATTTTCCTCCCTCCCCTCCCATTTCTATCTTATTTTCTTAAAATCTGCACATAGACAATTGCAGTAGATAAGCTGGAAAAGATTTTGGTTTGCACCTTAAAACCCGTTTTGATGTAACCTTTTCAGTATGTCTACCACAAAAATGCTGTGACCCATGTTTGCTGATAATTCAGCACTGGTTGCTTTCCGTTGTTTATCTGCCAGCATAGATATCATAGCAAGATTTTGCCAAGGATAATAGACATGGTCAGATGTGCATTGCACTGAAGGAAAACATGAAAATAATTTTGTAGGGGGAGAATGGGGTGATGATTCAAATTTGCACCTGAATTTAGCAAGGATTTTCATCACATGTAGACCTGAACCAGGAGGGAGTAGAGAAAAGGTTGAGATTTCCAGAAGGCCAAATACTAAAAACCATGGAGGAGCTGACTCTTACCACCAGTAAGCAATGTGGGGTACACTGACAGCTTGGAGCATTTTATCGAATGCTTCTGTTTTGCTGCCCAATCTCTAAGTGAAAATAAGGCCAAGCTGTCCCCATCTCATCAGGGCTTCACCAGAGTCCAGCACATGTGGTGCAAGAAAATACTAGTTTTCTTTTTCTGAGTTTCATTTACTTGTTTTTCATGGTTGAGAGAGCATTGGAAGCTGTCTTGGATCAAATCAGATTATTGAGTCATCTAACCCAGTAAAGGCTGACATTTTAGGTAGGATTCTTTGCTTGCCCTGGAGATCTTGGGCATTACTTGGTGGTCTCCTATCAAAATAGAAACCAGGCCTGAGCTTCAGTAGTTTCTAGTTCTAATAAAACCATGTCTTCTCACAGTGATATGGGTGGTATATGATGGGCTTCAATTGATATTCCATGACGGGGAGGGAGAGGAGTGGCAAAAATACAGCTATGTAAATAAAAGGTGATATTTGAACATTCACTAAAGTGTTTATTGTATCACTGTGTGTTTTATTGTTCACTGTTATTGCTTTAATGTTTATGGTGTGCTTTGGTTTACATGTAATTGTTATATTGTTGTTTTATTGTGGCCTTGGCCTTTGTAAGCCGCATCGAGTCCTTCGGGAGATGCTAGCGGGGTACAAATAAAGTTGATAATAATAATAGTAGTAGTATTAATAATAAGTACTAGTAGTATTATTATTATTATTAATAATAATAATAATAATAATAATAATAATAATAATAATAATAATAGCCATGTTAGGCTGTAGGGTAAGCTTAAACCATCTTCCTAAAATGTAAGCTTTCTATATGCAGAGTAATTTTAAAATATGGGAACGTTATAGTAGGCATTCCTTTCCAAGTTTTCCTTCTGCAGTTTAAAAACCTAAGCTCTTGGGAAGAGCTATCTACATTCTGGATTTGGCCACTCAGATTTTCTAATACTACTGTTCTCAATAACTGGTCACTACTTTTCTTGGAGAATTTCATTTCCACATCAGACCTTTTTGCAAGGGCTGATTTTATGTGGCTTAAGGGAACATGGTCTTATCAGTAGTCATTCCCTATCATTGATTTAATGGAGGTTTATCTTTAGTAAAAAAAATATTGTTACTTTCATATATATAAGTTCAGAAGATATGACATCATACAGTGATGTGCAAATATGACAAGGAGATTATTTCCTAGCAGGTCCAGAAGCTGATTCTTCTCTCCCTGACTCTTCCTTCTTAAGGTATGCCCGCTGCTTCCTTGGTGACTCCTGCAGATGTCATCAAGACGAGGTTACAAGTGGCAGCCCGCGCAGGACAAACAACTTATAGTGGTGTCATTGACTGCTTCAGAAAGATCCTACAGGAGGAAGGTCCAAGGGCTTTTTGGAAAGGAGCTGCAGGTAGCTTTTGAGAATAGTTATTTTAATTATGGAGTGTGTATACAATACAGCCCACTTCCTACCCCTGTGAGCAGTCCTACTCCAGGAACAGAATAAAATGGCTAAACTTGTAATGTGTGATGCGTTTTTAACTGTATATTACTGTATAACTTGCACTGTGTAAACCGCATTGAGTCGCCTAATCTAGGCTGAAAAATGTGGTATAGAAATAAAGCAAATAAATAAATAATATACATAAGGCTGCCTGTTTAACATGGCACTACTTTCTTTTCTTTTTCACCCCAAGCTCGTGTGTTTCGGTCCTCTCCTCAGTTTGGGGTGACCCTGGTGACTTATGAGCTGCTACAGAGGTGGTTTTACGTTGATTTTGGAGGAGTGTAAGTATGACATGTTGACTGCTTTGACATATATCTGGTTGTAGGGAAGAGGGAGGAAAACAGAACCAGTCCAGGGACCAACTCTTCCATGCTGTTAAATAATAAAGTTGCCTAATGACCTAGAATGGCCATTATTGGGGAGAAGGAACCAAGGAATTGGGTTGTAGCTAAGACACGGAAGATTCCTCTTGAGATTTAGTATAGGTTTTTAATCTCAGTTCTGATTTTTTAAAGTAATACATGTTTCTTATTATCTCTAAACATTTCAGAAGACCAGCAGGATCCGAACCAGTTCCAAAATCCAGGATCACTCTGCCTGCTCCAAATCCTGATCATCTTGGGGGCTATAAACTGGCTGTTGCCACATTTGCTGGAATCGAAAATAAATTTGGACTTTACTTACCTCGGTTTAAGGCCACACCATCCAGTCCTCAGGCAGCCTCGGTTTGATCCTGGAGCAATGACTTACTTCTCCCAAGGACTGGGAAAGAGCCATACAGCTGATCAATCTCAATAGCTCATTCTTTCAGCTATTCTGTCTAATCTGCCTCTCTTCTCTCTCCATGCCGCTTACTTTTAGGTGTAAATCATTGGTCTGTGTGCATCTTGAATCAGATCACTGTGAAATTCTGCTAATAGTTTATTGGTTTGGGTCCATGAATGTATTTTGTTTTCTACTTGGCATACCTTGGGATTTGTGAATGTAATTGCACCTGTTTGATAAAAGCCATGAAAATATAATTCAATTTGTTCTCCTTGGGGAACCTGCTGGTGGCCAAACCAAGAAAGTCCGGGAATGTAGTTATCAGGTGAGCACTATATTGCCAATGCAGCTACATTAGAACTTGGAAAAGTTAATGTTCGGCCTCAGACCTAGAATCCTAGAAATTACATTTTAGACTACAGCTGTCCATACTACCTGGAAAAATTACTATTCAACTCCTAGGGTTTCATATTGGATATACACATACCCCAGAAAGAATGGCGCTTGGTGCACAACAATATAGTCCATGTGTGCATACTGTAGTGAACTGTGCTGGAGTCACTGGATGTGACATGCATAACACGCACAAGTTGCATTCCTGAATTGTATTGGGAAGCCTTTATGGGGAACATGTTTATGTAAAACCATGACAACCAAAGTTTAGCCATTTTATTCTGTTCCTGGAGTAGGACTGCTCACAGGGGTAGGAAGTGGGCTGAGAAATGCCATTTTCTTTAGACCATCCACTTTATGGAAAAATGCCTGAGCATCATACCATGTGCATTAGTCTGTCAGCAACAGGCGCATTGAAAGAGGTCGCTATAAGTCCTTCATCCCTTCTTGTGCTGTTTAGCTTCAGGCTTCTGCGCACGACACACACACACACCCCCTTGACATAAATGGAGGCTGCGCCCATGGGTTTGCAGTCTGACTGTGCTGATATTCAAATTCGTGTTTTGTGTTCTGCACTTCTAGAGTAACTGCTGCTTGTTGAAATAAACGCAATAGGAATAAAAAATAAAATCCATGCATTGTATCAATGGTGATCTGCCTTAACTGCCAGCTTGTAATTGGACAAATTCTTCTTACCTTTGTTGAATTAAAAAGAAGATTTTTATATAAAAATTAACCAGAATAAAATATTTTTGAATATTTTGACTATTATTCAGCACCCTCTACATCAGCGATTCTCAACCTGGGGGTCGGGACCCCTGGAGGGGACGCGAAGGGGTGTCAGAGGGGTCGCCAAAGACCATCAGAAAACAGTATTTTCTGCTGCTTATGGGGGTTCTGTGTGGAAAGTTTGGCCCAATTCTATCATTGGTGAGGTTCAGAATGCTCTTTGATTGTAAGTGAACTATAAATCCCAGCAATTACAACTCCCAAATGTCAAGCTCTATTTCTCCCAAACTCCACCAGTGTTCACATTCGGAAATATTGAGTATCTGTGCCAAGTTTGGTCCAGATCCATACCCTATCATCAACAATGGCCATGCTGGGGTATTGTTGTTCAACATAACTGAGTGGTAACTGATTTGAGAAAAGCTAAAACAGTCTTCTTGTGTTGTCAAAGACTTTCATGGCTGGAATCACTGGATTGCTGCAAGTTTTCCGGGCTGTATGGCCACGTTCCAGAAGCATTCTCTCCAGAAGGAGAGAACATGGCCATACAGCCCAGAACATGGCCATACAGCCCAGAAAACTCATAGCAACCCAGTCTTCTTGTGTCTTGTACTTATGCTGCCCTTGCAGTGTCCTGGTTAAGGATCTGAGCTGTTAGTCAAGTCTTTCTCCTTCCCCACTACTATCAACTTTATCTCTACCCAAAATCTAAGAGATTGCCTTAAGGAAAATGCTCTTCACGCCCCAGACTATAACATAGGCTTCATGCTGCTACCTAATTCCAATTACTAGACTACCCAAAATACACAATTCCTGGAAGCTGAGTCAACTCCTGACTACCTTCCACTGATTTAATAGGTCTTTTCCCACTGAAAATGGCAATTGGATTTGATCCCAGGGCTGTAAATAGGGATGGCAGTGGTACCACTGAGAACAACTACGTTACCAATTGCATCATCATTTAAGGCTGTTTTTCCTGAGCATGCTGCATTTCTTGTTCCAATGACCTCTGGCATATGTGCACATTTTTGTCTGCCTCGGATAGATGAACACAACCCTAGGAAGTCCCTGTGCGTTCAACTGTACAATTCTGATTAAATCTGCACTGAGTGAAACAGGTGATGTAGAAACGCTTCTTGAGAAATGTAAGCATCATTTTTTTTAGTTGAGCAGCACATTTTAACTGTGCTGCTTACGCTAAAGCGTGTATTTTAAATCCAGCGATTATACATAACAAATTACTGGAGGGTTTAGAAATAACTAAACTTCAAGATATTTTCATTATGGAATTCTCTAGGGAAGTTAAGCACAGCAAACAAACCAGAAGCAGCACTTGAGCAAACTGTGTTCTTGACTATTCACAATGAGTATTTTAGAAAGTGTTGCGACTACTATCTGTGTGAAAGGTGTTGTAATTCAGAATAGCCCTACTGATATTAGCAAAACACAATCACACCTAATTTATATTGGTTATCATGGAGCTTTCTTGACAGAATCCCATTGATTTTGGTTGGGATACCGTAAAGCACAATGAAATTTGCATCCAATTTAGCATTTGCCAAAATGTAATTGTACACTACCTGATTATCCCTTTAAAGACAAGATAGATTGAATAGAAAGCTATTCCACAAGCTCTAACCCAGTGTTCCCAACCTTTGGGTGCTTTGGACTTCAACCCCAGAAATCCCAGCCAGCTTACCAGCTGTTAGGAACTGTGGGAGCTGAAGTCCAAAACACCTGGAAGCCCAAAGGTTGGGAACCACTGCTCTGATGCCTCCATGCTTGTTTTCCATCTCCCTCTCCATTCCTTTTCCTTTTATATTTTCAAATTTTAAGATTATTTGCTGGCACACAGCAGCAGTTTCGTTTTCACCACTAGTACATAAGTTCTTTGGGAAGTGTATTTTGACTTAGGAGCAAAATAACATAGCAATACAGAAATAATTCTGAATCAGGGGAGTAGGGTGAGCTCTCATTGCTAGCCCCAGTTTCTGCCAACCTAGCGGTTCGAAAACATGCAAATGTGAGTAGATCAATAGGTGCCGCTTTTGCGGGAAGGTAATGGCACTCCATGCAGTCATGTTGGCCACATAACCTTGGAGGTGCCTACAGACAACACCAGCATTTCAGCTTAGAAATGGAGATGAGCGCCACCCCCCAGAGTCGGATGTGACTAGACTTAATGTCAAGGGAAAGCTTTACCTTTACCTTATATAAATAAGATAAAAGTAGTGTAACTAAATGGATTCGGTACAGCTTTCTTCATAGAGTAGTTGTATTTTGATTTCCTTCAAATGATTTCCATCTGATGTAGTAAAATTGAAACTGGCTTTCAAATGTTGTGATTGTTTTAATAGGATTATGTGTTTTATAATGTTTCATTTTTGTATGATTTTTGTGTCATTCGGAAATTGAATGTTTTGCCCTATGTTGGAAACTGCCCAGAGTCCTCTCAGGGAGATTGAGCGGTATATAAAAACAGCTATTATTATTATTATTATTATTATTATTATTATTATTATTATTATTATTATAGAAATGAAATCATAAGGTGACATTATTATGGAGTTCTCTTGAAAGAATTTGTTCAGAGGGAGGTTGTCTTTGCCCTCTTCCTGAGACTGAGAGAGCATTATTTTCCCAAGGTCATCCAGTGAGTATCTGTGGCCAAGCAGGGATTTGAACCTGGTCTCCAGAGTCCTGCTGAACTCTAGTATATCCACTAAAATCCATAACTCAGGATTAACATTTGTCCCACTGATTCCAATGAGTCTACTGTAAAAATGACTACAACCAGAACCAGCCCATATGGGAACCTTTTGAGAGAAAACTATTACAAACAGTAAGGCAAAAAGTGTGATTTTATTTACTCTCATGAGTGCCTCTACAAGGCCTCCTGCTTGAGTGAGTTCCTTTGGATCTGCCTGGGTTAATCAGGCTGAGAAATCTTAACACAGGACCATATTTTGAAGCTTAACCTTGGTAGGTAGCTTAAATTCTATCTTGGTACCATTTGTGGATGGCTCCTAATCTGGGTCATCAAAATGATGAGGACAACAGAGCCACTTTAGACATTTTCTACTTTTATGGTTTTTTAACCTGTAAGATGGTCAGTGGAGGGCTTTTAATTATGCATTATTTATTTATTTAAAACATTTATATTCCGCCCTTCTCACCCCGAAGGGGACTCAGGGCAGAGCACAACATATATACGGCAAATTTTAATGCCGGAACAAAATAAACTATGATGTAAATGTATTGACAGGCCCCGCTTTTCAGCTGTATTGACCAACAGTGGTAGAAAAACATACACACATACTTATCCAACCAACCAGTCCATGTTGCCATCTCTTCTGTGGAACGGACAGACAACCGTGGACCTCCAGGTATAGCTGGAATACAACTCCTTTCAGCTTTACCCTCCATGGATAATAGCAAGGAATACTTGCCCCCTTTTCTAAAGTTCTCGTAACAATCTCCGCTCACCCATAAGATCAGCTTTATTTTCTTTCATAAATGCAGGAGGGGGTAGACAAAAGTATCACTGCCTGTTACTGCTTTTAAAACGGTTTTAAATAAGTCCCACTTTCTTAGAAGTCACAGTTCCTTTCTCTGTCAGTAAATGAAATGGTCTTAATATGAAAATAGTAACACACATGGCTCTGCACAGCACTGGCCTATTTTATTAGCCATATTCTAGAGTAGAGCTCCTGCTTCAGACTGTAACTGCTAGCCTCTAACAAGTGTCGGCAACCAACTGTACATGAAATATTGTTAAAGTACCTAGAAATAATAGGCATTTTTTTATTTAAAAAGTTCCATTTATTCAACCAAGCTTTTACAGATTTCATTTTCGTACAAAGTGACATCCTGTAATTGTTGTTTTGGAGGGCGATATAACCCCAATAGGCATGCAGAGACAATGCCGTTTGCTCGTTATGCACATGCATTAGGATCGTTTATTTTAATGCTTTCAAATAAATATGTTCCATGCAGCACACCGCAATAAATAAGGGGCAGCAACGTTCATATAGTACATCCATTCATAATGTAAGTCACCATGTGAAACACCACATCTAAAGTCTTTGGCCCAGTCCCATGGTTGCAAAGCACGCCACATCTGTACCCAATCATAACTGACTTCATCTGGATTTAATAGGGCTGCGCCAGAAAGGTTTGCGAGCCCACGTTTATCCGGGGGTTTCTAGCCAGTTACTGCAGCTACTCAAGTAGTTAAAAAGGCAACAACTGAACCCACTTGGGTTTGATTTGTCCTCTCATTGGTAACCCCTCAGAAAAGAAATATGAAGCATGAAAGCGTTCTGGATATTTTCAGATGGCTTAAAGCATAGCGTGATTAATAGGAAGGAGTCGGAACTCTTGGGTAATGCTGACATGAACATTGGCATGAAAAGCCACAACAATACTGATTTGACACTGAACACGCGTGTAACTGATGGAAGGGAGGGGGGAACCACCTTCGTCTCTTCTAGGCAGAGATTTCCATGGTCCCTTCTTCTTCACTGTCTGCTCTGTTGGCTCGGATTTCTACCAAGGTCCGGGCAAATCGGCTCCATTCATCACTGTGTGGGATGGCAAGCTGCAAGGAGAATTAAATGGAGAAGAACGTGATCAAACGAAGGCAGCATATCAGTAAGAAGTGGTCTTAAGAAACCTTTTTTTAATGAGAATGTGTTCCATGGAAAGAGTCCTCACCAAAGAACATTGCGGCAGGCAATTATGAAAATTGAGAGGAATGTTTTTGCAAGCAGTTAAGTAGCTTGTTACTTTAGGATAAAGAAACGTGGAATGTGTGTGTCGATTTAACACATTTGCTCATTTTGATAAGGATCTAAATTGCATAATCTGCCCAAGTATAAACAGTACCTAGAAAATGTTTTCAAGTTACACCACTGACCTGAACTGGGCTCCATGGAAGCACAGCTAGACTTGTTAAGTGCTGAGTTCCCATAACCCAGAGTGTGTTTGCTTAAATTTTATTCATCTCGGTAATACTGGAATTGAACTTTTCTGGCATAGTTAAATTTCCACATTATAAATTAAATATCCCTATGCAGTAAGGGACACCTGCTTGTACAGCATGAAACACAAGCACCAAAATGAAGCTGGAATCTGGCACATGCCATATAACTTTCCACTCAGGGCCCTTTAAATCAGAGAACCTGGAAAATTGATATTTAAACCCACCACACAAGCATAAACAAACACTTCATATCAAACTTAGTATCTCAACATTGCAGGCAAGTGCAAATGTCAACCTTAGACAGTACAAAAAGAAAAGTATATCTTTTGGACTAATAGAATTGCCCACCCAGCATAATGACTGGCCAACCTGAATAAGTAATTCTGGAATTTGTAGAAAACCCCCATCGGTCTGTGAAATTATGGTTGGAATTCTACTGGTGCACAATGGCAATGGTGTTGTACCAGCACAGGAAGAGTGGTGGGAGAAAAAACGATAGAAGTATAGAAGCATGGTGGCCTAAATACTCTGAAGGCATCAGATCCTGTCTGATCCTGGAAGCAACACAGGATCAGCCCTGGCTAACATTTGTATTGTAGACCACTATGGAATATCAGGTGCTGAAGGCTATTATTTCCTATAAGTACTTGTTGGCTATGAAAACCCTATGAAATTCATGGGGTTGCCATAAGTTAACAGGTGACTTGAAGGCACACACACACGGAGGAGCCATTGAAGAAACAGCTCAGAGCTGGAAGAATTTGTCTGCCTGCCTTACTGCCAACATCTAATCCAGTGGTTCCCAACCTTTGAGCCTCCAAGTATTTTGGACTTCAGCTCCCACAGTTCCTAACAGCTGGTAGGCTGGCTGGGATTTCTGGGAGTTGCAGTTCAAAACACCCGGAGGCCCAAAGGATGGGAACCATTGGTCTAATCCTTGAATCCACCCTATAACTATTAATCAGGAGGACATATCCACATGTCTCAATTACAGCCATTTGATATCTTTTTTTAAATGCCATAGCCCCTTCCCTTAGAAGTTTAGGGTTTGTAGGTGTCCGAGATACTTAGAATTCCCAAGTGCATTTCCTTGAAATACAGCACTAGAGCTCTCTGGCAGAGAATTCATGGTATCTCACAAAACTTCAGTAGTGTCTCACTTATCCAACCTTTGCTCATCCAACATTCTGTATTATCCAACACAGTCTGCCTCCTGCCCGGATCCACAGCTGTTTCAATACATTGCATAGTGTTGGTGCTAAATTTGTAAATACAGTAATTACTAGATAATGTTACCGTATATTGAACTGCTTTTTCTATTGATTTGTTGTAAAACATGATGTTTTGGTGCTTAATTTGTAAAATTATAACGTAATTTGATGTTTAATAGGCTTTTCCTTAATCCCTCATTATCCAACATTTTCATTTATCCAACATTCTTCTGGCCCGTTTATGTTGGATAAGCATGACTCTACTGGAGAAATCCCCAGATTCAACAGGATGGAGCCATGCATTATAACTTGTATAGTATTTACAAGATCAGAATGCCGCTGAAGTAGAACCACAGTGTATTACTACCACCAGGTAGAACACAGGCGGGTGTAAAACTTTAAACCAAGATGTGTGTGTGTGTGTGAGAGAGAGAGAGAGAGAGAGAGAGAGAGAGGGAGGGAGGGAGGGAGAGAAACATCTATGGGGATTGTCAAGTTTTTGTTGTTTTGTTTGGTTTTGGTTTTTCCTTTGTTAGGCTCTTGGTATGCCTTATTTATACAAAATATAAATTGGAACTTGAAGAGGAAAAAAAAGGCTATAATAAAAATGCTAAGTACCTCTGGGACAGAGGAAGAAAATTTTAAGCAAACAGATTTTTTCCCTTCACTCAAAATTGAAAATACTTGGTAAAAACGTTCCCCTTTTTATTTCATTTTTTATGGGGATAGGATGAAAAAGTGTTCTCAAAGCACAATATGTTTTTCAAATGCTAAAGAGGCTAGGATATTTTACTTGCTGCAGTTGACAATCTCCCACAAACCATTCTAGCCGAATCTGGTCTTGCAATTTTTGAGAGATAATGCAAAATAAAATTGAAACAATCACCAAACGGCTTTCTCTATGTACATTTTCATACATTCAGGTCCTAGAAGCTAGCAACAATGAATTTAAATTAACCATGTGCATTTTTACAGCTCTGTAAAGTCTGTAATCTCTCTCTGGTTGCTCGTAGGAGAGAGGAACTGTTTAAAGACATTATGCAGTATGTAGAAGGGCTTGAAAGCAACTGTTTCAAGACAAGAAGCAGCGTGACTCACTCTGTGTGTGCATGTAGTTTCATTCCGTTACTGCTAATGTGCCATAAAACTATGCTAACCTTTTCAGCTGCTTCTACAAAGGAACATCCTAGATACAAGATTGGGAATGAAGGTCTCAACTGGTCCAATTCTGTCTGAGGATTGAAAGTCTGATGTTCAACGATTAATATCTCCAAATAGGATTTTTAAAAAGCATTGCTGAAATCTAGGATAATTACTACCAACAGTTGAAGCAGCTATGTTTTTCATTTGGAAACATAGCTCTTCTTTAGACAATTGGGCTATCTACTCCATTGATGTTAGCACTGTTCTATCTATTCCAGTGACTAAATAATGTTAACAACACTGGGGTAGATAGTAGTCTTGTGCATTTGTACAGAACTACTACCCGTTCCTGTATGTTTCTTCAGTAAGACTTCATTTTTGTTTTCAAGTTACCTCTCCCAAAAACGGGCATCTTTCCGGAGGAGCTTTTTTTGTCAAGGTCCAAAAAAACAAATGTTTTCGGCATATTTGCAACAAAATGCCAGAACCTGTCAGGCCTACAGCCAAGCACCGAGGACCAAGTAAGAGGCACTCAGCGCTTGGTGTATGCCCTGCCAACCAAACGGTTACCGTTTCCACTTTCCTTTCGTTTCATTGATATTGTTGTGCAGGGGGGTGTACCGTTTCATGCATTCCAAATGAACAAAATGACACAAAAACACAAAATAAACGAATGAGGCAAATACTGGGCCCATGACTAGTAGATAGGTCAATGGTCTGATTTGGTATAAAGAAGGTCTTACTATGTTCCCAAGTCAAAAAAACATTGTTGCTGCAATCCAACACTCTATGTGTATTTCAGTTCTCATGGTCAAGAGCTCATCCACAACACCACAACTAATGAACACTCACACACACACACACAGTTTGCTTATACTGAGTCAAACCACTGGTTCATCTAGCTCATTTTACCTCCCTGACACCACTTGTTTAATAGGAGTCTTTCTCAGCTCTACATAAAGGTATTGGGGTGTGACCTTGGGACCCCCAACAGCCAATCGATCAATCTATATGAAATAAATGATACTAATTCCCACCAAACTTTTCTGACCAGTGTCTTCCACACTTGGACTGTAACTTCCAAAAACAAGCCAGCCAGCTTGATGTAGACTGATCAAGATAAGTAAAGGGCATGTGGGCTGAAGAAAAACATGCCTATAGCAAAGCATTTCCCAAACTGGTGCACAGAATAGTCATGTGAGGTCTTAAAAAGAGCCTGCAAATCAGCACAGCCCTCCGTATACTTCAAGAACTGCCTTTAATGTCACCATAAAAGTTTCATCGACCACATCTATGACAACAACTTTTCTTTCCTTCTAGGCTTCCACTAAAAGCTAGGAGACCACTTTGTGACTCAAGTCAATAGTATTTATGGTTGATAAAACAAACTCTTTAAAATTAATGTTTCTCACGGTTTATCCTGTGCACAGAAACCAACACTGCGGCACACTAAGGGCATGTATTTTTGGCAGAGGCCACAGAATTACATTTACTTACTGATTCCTGCACATTGGCAGGAATCAGTTTACAAATCTCTCAAATGACCATTATGCTCAGCAGAAGCAGCAGCAAAAAAAAAGATTATTTTTAAAATTATCAGTTTTACTTTAAGGGTGCAGATTTCAATCTTTATTAGATAGTGTAAAACCTAGCAACTGTTTCCAATGGGTAATTTAGATCAGGAAAAAAAATCACACTGTTATGATGCTATTATTCTACTTCAACTGCCACAGCAACATTCTGTGGATTACTGGGGTTTGTAGTTTAGCAAAGAATGCTAAATGCTCCTCCCTAAACTGCAAATTCCTGTATTCCATAGGATGTTGCCATGGCAGTTAAAGCAGAATAATAGCGCTATAATACTGTGGTGTGATAGGACTCTAAATTACAATATTACGGAGCCAATCTTGTGTCCTCTGGGAGAAGAGATGAGGGATTTGGGTTGCTCTCCATTGGCTTGGATTTGGGCATTCTGCCTTGGAAAAGGCCAATTATATGTAGAATACTCAAGGGCAGGGAGAATAGTTGCAGCAATTATGCCAGCTTTGTAGCTGTTGTGGTTAATTTCTTAAGACTGGTTTTGTGTGAGGACAAGGGAGTGGACAAATTATGATAGCAAATAAATCAGCAGATGTACGGACATGACAGTGTATGCCAGCGGTGTGTTCTCGATGGAATGGTAGATCTTGCATAGAACTCCCATCTTCTAAGAACAGGACAACCCCCATAACCACAATATCCATGGTTTTATTTATCTACTTC